AAGAGCTTGGACCCTGGAAGCAAGTGACTGACCCTATCAAGTTTGATACTCATGATGATACCCAGCAGGAAATCCATATGGTCAATCTACGCAAGTATTTGGAGAAGCTGTGTTTGGACTCTCTGCCGTACAGGGAAGCGTTGATGAAAGCAGCGCAAGGGACTGGATACCTGACGCCAGTGTTGTACTGTGATGAGTGTACAGCCGGTAATGTTCTATCTGCTGACAAATCTCGCAAAAGTTGCCTGTTCTACCTGGGCTATCTTGAGACCTGGCACCTTCTGAAGCATGAGGTCCTTTGGATACCTTTCGCCTGCGTCCAAAGCCAATGCATCAACACTTTGCAGGATGGTGTTTCAAGACTCCTTTGTCACATGGTGGAACAAATTACCAATGCAGAATTCACAGCTGGTTTCTGGCCCACCCTGACTTGATGTTACGTCATCGGCAGAAAGCATTCTTTCTTGGTGACTTGGACGCTGTCAGAGCTGGTTTTTCAGTCAAAGGCAGCGCAGGCTTACGGCCATGCATCTTATGCAAGAATGTGTTGAAATCCAACAGCCAACTTGTGGAACATAATTCGTACTTCGTAGAGATCAGTGCGTGGACCGGCTTCGATAGAAGTACGGATATTGAAATTTTCCAGATGTGTGACCGTCTGGGTCGTTGTCGAACAAAAGCGGAACTTGCTCAGGAAGAGAAGGTGTTAGGAATCTCATACGACTCACGCTCTCTGCTGTTCCAGCCACATTCGAGGGTCCACATGCCACCGTCCCACATCCTCTTCGACTTTATGCATTGCTACCTGTGCAATGGAGTCGCATCGTGGGAGGTAGGGTTGCTCATGGAGAAAATTTGCACTGGCACGGATATCACCAGAGAAGTGTTGGCGATCACCGCCAAGGAGGCTGGATGGCGTGGCACTGCAGAATCCGGCAAAAACCGGCCTAGCTACCTGCCAGCTTTGTGGCACGAGCGCTTGTTTGGGGACAGTCTGTACAAGGGTCAAGCGCATCAAACAGCTGCCATTGTACCTTTGTTGCCATACTATCTGGAGGAAGTAATTCAGCCAAGCAATCAACTTCCAACAGAGGTGGTCTCGTCACTCATCCGTCTTGCCAACTGTGTTGCCTTTATTCGTTATCTGAGCAATCGTATGGAAAAGATTTCCGAACGGGAAGCAAAACACTTGGATGAGCTTCAGCGCCAGCATCAACAGGCATTCGTCCAAGCATACCCAGACAGCATCAAGCCCAAGCATCACATAAGATTTCACTTACCGGAGCAATATCTCAAAACAGGTTTCTTTTTGAGTTGTGAGTGCTTGGAGAGCAAGCGCAAGCAATACAAATCGGGTGTTGCGCAGAATCAGAGAAGCACCTGCAAAGACTTTGCCCGGTTTAGTTCTTCTGTTCTTCAGCGGCTCCTTCAAAAGAATTTCAAGCTCTTGCAAGACAAGGGACTACCGTTTTGGCAACTGATGCTGCCCATCCACGACGCTAGTCTGGACGACAAACTGGCCTTTGTAACCTTGAACTTGACAACCAGTGAAAGCCCCTCGTCGGACATTTTCCTTCAAATTTTAGTTGCACTTTATGTTGATCTCCCTTAGGTTAGACAATAAAAAGCGGTGTACCCGCTCCTATACGCATGTATACCATATATCTTGCAGCGGTGTCCCCGCTTATTCGTTTCGGTGGTACTCAAGGCTGCTACTTGACCAGCGGCGTGGTCTCAAAGACGGACATTGTCCTTTGCCAATACACGGCTGGTGTTGTGAAATCGTGGTTCCATGATCCCGCGTCTGGTTTCTACCTGCGTTGCTTGAAACTCGACTTCGTGCCTTGATGCCTTTGATTTTGCGGTGTATTGAAAGTACATATCTCGCAATTTCAATGTCACTATATCTATATGATGTATGTTTGTGTATATATATGTATATCATCTATATAAAATGGGTTTGCTCACTGAGACTCACCCTCCTCCCGACAAGGTACGAGACACCACCTGGGGAACCATTTGGAAATTGTCTGACGACAATGAGGAGATTATACTGGAAGTGAAACCTCAAGCACCTCCAGCAGTCCCATCGTGGTGGAAGCATTCCGAAGACCAAAGACATGTCATGTGTTTGCGGTGACCAAAAGGAACCGGAGAGCGAAGATGTGATCCAGCGCATGTATTGTTTGGTTTTTGTCATTGTTCTGCTCACAAAACAAGCGGAGTTCCCGCTTCCCAAGAATAAAGCGGTGTGTCCGCTGAAAATGACCGCAAACCTGTATATGGTAGTCCTGATCTCGCAAGATTTTGTGCATCAACAGGATTCAACTTGGTTGCTGCGCTCACGCACCATGGAAGCGCTGCTCCTTTTTGCTGGGCAAATTGCTGCCCATGTTGCTACTTTGACTGATGAGTCCAGATTGGATGAGCTGGAGATGTCACGAGAAGGTTGCAGAAAATTATGCATCCATGTTGGGCTTGGACCCCATACAGCTTGCATTGGACTCCTGTGGTGCTCGATCGCTGCGCAGTGTCAGCTCAATGGTCTCGCTGGCCATGACACTACGGTGGAGTCGATGGGAGTGAAAAGCCAGGTGATGGGCTTCGAAGTTCCGAAAAAGTTGAACTACTACCAGCGGTTCTATTTGCACAAAGAGCTGAAGATGTTGGAATCCTGGCTTCCCACCTGGAGCGACATGGTGCCCCAACTCGTCCCAGAAGTGGAGAGTGCTTTGACGGAAGTGTTTGAAGCATTGGCGATGGATTGAGTCCCAACCAGAGGCGTATCAGATGGTATCAGCAAAACAGATGGTATCACTTGAGCGCAAGCTTTTGGTTCATATGCACATGAAACACATTCTAGTGGATTCAGCGGTGTGTCCGCTATGCAGCGGTGTGTCCGCTATAGTTTGTTTGGCTCAATTTTTCATTTTTTCTTCTAAAAAAGTGATAAAATCATACTTTTACATGTAGTTCTCGTAAAAACTTGAGAAACAAACATGTCAAACCAGTTCTACTTATTTCTACTTAGTTCTACTTATTTCTACTTATAAGTTACTTGTAACCTACTTAAAAATCATTCATTTTAGTATTGAATTTTAGTTCAACATAAGTAGGTTCTAAGTAGGTTAAGTAGCGCTAAGTTACTTGATGTAGATTAAGTAGGAACCGGCCTATGGGTAGGGTTTGCCTCCCGAGCCAACATGGCTTGGACAACCTTGTCCACTCCCCCTTCGGCTTGCTGCCGAGCTTGTTGCCAGGCAAAGGCAATGAGGTCGCCCACCTCTTGCTTAGCCTCCTCAAGTGCACTGAAGAAAAATGCAAAATCACCATCATCTGTGACTCCATTGATCTCACGCCAAACCTGCACCACCGAAAGGTCATCCATGACCACAAGACAAAAGCTGAGCAGAGAGGTTCCCTCTTAGAGTTTCACTCCACAAAGCTATTTTGGCTAAAGCTAGCCTTGAGCCAAAACGTCACCATGAGATTTGTGCAAAGACCATGTGCTGAATGAATAGCCGCCTACACCAAGCCTGCCCTAAGCACTATAGGCATCTGAAGGGAGGAGGCGAAAGCCAGCCTCCATAAGAAGACATCAATGCGGTCACGGGGTGAAGCCAAACCACTTTCTGTTTAGGGGTGCCCTTTTTCAGCTTGAACACGCCGCTAAAAGGACGAAGTGCAGGAACGATCGCGCAGGGAGTTGACCAGGCTAACCAGGTGCGTCTATCCAGTTACCGTCAGAAGCGTAGAGACCCTGCGCTTGCTAGAATCTCATTCTGCGTCCAGAGAACTCAGGAGAATATTTGTGGGCGTAATCCTCACCACTGAGCTATACATGTCCAAGAGCGCCCGCCTTTCGTAGAGTTGATCCAGGCGTTACGTATGGCGCAAAGTCACGATTAATAAACCTCCCATCAATCCGCCGAAAATGGCACAAATTAAAAGTAGTATTGGTGGTTGGTTCCCCCCCAATTTGCGTACTACTACTACTACTACTACTCCTACTCCAACTCCTACTCCTGCTGCTGCTGCTGCTGCTACTGCTACTGCTACTGCTAGTAGCTGCTGCTACTGCTAGTAGCTGCTGCGACAACTCCTACTCCTACCACTACCACTACCACTACCACCACTCCCTGAGCAGATTATTCAGGGGAGGTGGAGGGGGGGGTGGTTTAAATATCCAGAGTTGGCATTATAGGATCTGGCCTTCATCTAGTGTAAATAGAGCCTATCGGGCCTATCATATATTTACCCTCAATGCGAGACTTTGCGCCTCTCTGCCTCATGCTTGTGACAGCAGTCGAACAGCGCATTGTTCCACGTCAGTCGGGACTTTCGGTCACAAAAAACACTTCGAAAGAACAACATGCGCTCATGCTTCGCCTGCCCATATTATTTGTTAGGTTTTGTCCGGGTGTTGAAGTCCAGTCTTTCACAATTATTCCCTGTCGAGGTGGCATCGTTTCTGGCGCTCCTTTCCACTCTTAAAAGCAGGAAGACAGAGGGCTGAGAAACGCACATCTCACTTTCCTGGTGAGCTCGCGACAGCTTTTCCTGTCACGTTATCTGTCCTCAACATGAACATCCCTTGTCCAAAGCCCAACTACCTTGGATAGCTCTGAGCGGTGCCCTTTTTCATCCAGTTGACAGCCCTCTTCACTCCTCTACGGGTGACATCGTTTCTTGCGTTCCACTCGTATTAGCCACAAGAAAACAGAGAGTCCTGAGAGGTGAGAGGCACGTCTCATTTTCGCGCTGCTCCCGCTGACACGTTGTCCCCTTCTCCCCAGCCATTTGAGCAACTCATGATGCACTAGGCGTCAATCACATCACTCGCACCACACTCCAAAAACCACACATTTTCACTATTTTTGCGACGCATCTTTTTTTCGCTCTCCCCCTGCAGGCTCTGGGCGCCCATCGGCTGGCGATCGAATTTAATAAATATTGAGGCTTGCCATATGCTTCATGTCTCCATACTTTTCCCGTCGTTCCTGCTGCCATTGAGCCGCACAACGTCCGGAAGGATGTGGCCTTTGCGAGGTGAGGCAGCAATGCCGTCGACAATTTTTTGCAACGTTCGCCAAAAGGATGCGTTGCAGGAAGGTCTGTACTTTCTGTTACAGCCAATCTAATTGCACCTGCGCCATGGTGATTGTCTCAGCATCGCAAGTGCAATCAGTAGCCTGACTCGATTGTCGATTGCCAGCACACTGAAAAGACCTTCCTGGACCTTCATCCTTGGACCTAAATTCCATATCTGCCTGCCAAGGCGGCTTGATGGGAGGGTTACTGTTGGTGCACGCGCCAGGGCCTGGCAACTTGAAAGCTCAAAAAAGTTTTGTCCATCGTGTCAACGCAATAATAGATCAAAACCACAAAGAACTGCGCGCACTCACACGCACACACTTAGAATGAGAGCTCTCAAGAGCAGAGGTTGTGGAGATGGCCCAACGAATGCATCACCACTTTGCTGTAATTAGGAACGACCTGAAGCCTGGAAACGTAGCAAATATTATAATGAACAAACAACAGGTGGAAACAGTTTTGCGTCAACGACCTTCAAGCAGGTACAGGTTCACGCGCCCATTAACCCATCCACCGAATTTCCGTAGCATAAGTGGCTAGAGACGTAACTGGCTAGGAAAAAGAAGAAGCTTGCCTGTGAGAGTCCCTTAAAGACTTAGTAACAGGGTGTGACACGGACAGGTATACGGCATACGGTACGTCGGCGCTCAGGAGAAGCAAAATGTTTGTTCCTCGGGGTGGGGTGACTGTAGGGACTGTAGGCTCGCGTCGCGTGGATGATCCCGACAAGCGCAGGCGGGTAGAACCAGCAGAAGGATGATCGCGAATCTTCCGCAATGAGGCAGGTTGTATGTAAGTGATGGTTCGCGTGACTGTGTTGATGTTGAACCCGAGGAGAAGAAAATGTTACTTGAAAGCAGTGAAGCGGCTGTTTTTAAAGTAGGGCTCAGGGGTAGTAGGTAAAGTGCTACTGGGTGTGGTCAAGGAGTGAGGAATAGAATTGGTGCCAGGAATGTTCGATGAGTGTGATAGCTGGAGATACTTGCGATCCGATTCCAGCGCGTGTCCAATGTTCTTTGTGTTGGACGGCGACGGTGATGTCGTCCAATGTGTGAGGGCTGAAAAGGGTTGCTAGTTGCTTAATTTACATTGCTTAATGTGTGTCAATGGTGAGTCGAGGAGTCGTACGTGCGATCAGGCGGTCACTGTGGGACTGGAACATCTCACCAAATCGTCATTGCTTGCGTGCAAGTGGATGGAAGCGGGGCTGGTGGTGAGGTAGAAGTGGAAAGGTGCCAGAGTTGCAGAGTTGAGGAATGGACAATTGTCCGGGACGTTGTGGAAGTAGTTGAAGAAGCACGATGTCAAGTGCTGGGGAAGTTGCGCGGAAGAGGAGGCCATAGGCCAGTACTGGTAATAGGAGAGAATCGCGCAGCCGTTTAGCAACTGCTTCTTGTGTTTCAAATGGACGATGTTTCTGAATCCCCGTTTGTAGCGTTGTGGCCAAGCCGCCGCGGAAATAATGCTGAAGACAACAAAAGGCATGAACTGGTCTGCGCCCTGGGGTTGCTGAAGTTGCGTGAGAGATTTGGCGGTGAAACAAGGCTCACGGTGCTGGATGAAGGCTTAGCTTGGGGCGGATTGCAAGTAAGGTCGAAGTCTGCGGAAACGCGGCCAGCTTGCAAGGGAATCAGCGCATTGAGCGTGAGCGTGCTTGAGGGTCGCAGGGTGTCAGCCAAGCATCACTCCTCTGAAGGGAGTATGATATGGCGCCCAAAATTGGAACCACAAAGTACAACCGTGGACGATGCTGCGAATACACTTAGAAGGAAGCTTGCAAGAGCAAAGAACAAAAACCTGAGGTGCATTAAACTACCAACTTCGCAAAAGACACCGACCTGTCAAGCCCTGTGCAAACGTCCCAAAAAAAAGTATACCTGCGCCCAAACACCGAGCACAATTGGCTGTATCGCGTATGTTTTCCTGATCATCCAGTGTGGAGCTTCGTTGGCAAAGGCCACATCTGGACATCCCTCTGACCCCTCCTACTAAAACTGAAAATAAGAAGTAAGTAGGCGCGGTGAAACGGCTATATGAATTCCGGTCTCGTCCACAGCAAGACAGAGCTGGTGTGAAGTACCCTTGGGAGCAGGGTTTGACACACTTCGATAGAAAGTTCCTGTGGTTACTGCAGAACCGAAAGGTGAAAAGTCAGAGCGCTTGAAGGTGCTTCAACAAAAGTAGTCAGCAGCTGAGAACACACGCGCGAGACTCAGCGAAGAAACCGCAGCTCGGTGGTGGTGGGGAAGATGGGTGACACAGCTTGTACAAAAGTTCAGAAGTCGCAGGTACGCAGGGATGATCAGTCCCTGCTTCCCACTCTCGCCCACAGCTTCGTTGTGTGTGGTAGGACGAGAGCGCCACACGGCTGCATTGGCTGAAAAGGAACACTGGGGGCCGGGGTGTGACCCACACACACAAATGGCCGCAGAGCGGCGTTCCAATGTCAAACGCTTGAATAGCAACCTAAACAGCCTGTAGAAAAAGAGAGAGAGAGAAAGAAAGAGAGAAAGAGCGAAAGAAGAGGGCAAGAGAGAAAGATAGGTGTATACACGCACATCTGTCGAGCAAAGGTGCCGAGGGAACGGCAATTTAAGGTGTCAAAAACCTGAAGAGCCACCTCGCAAAGCCTGTAGAAAAAGAAAAAAGAATGACAGAAAGAGCAAAAAGAAGCGGGCAAAAGAGAAAGATACGTGTAGTGACACGCACATCTGTCGCTGAATGGAAGCATGCTATCATCAAAAATGAACTGAAAATCAGAAGTCCAGTGAGGAGTCACGGTGAACTCGTCAGTACAACTTCAGAAGATTCGTGAACATTGGCTGAGCAGAAAGCGGCAAACCCGTGAAAAGCGGAAAATATCTCTCAAGCTGGCTTCGGCGCCCCTTGCGGGGATCACACTGCATACCCACGTGGCAAGATGCAGCAGGTCACACTTCGATAAAGTTCTGGCGAGGGAACATGATCTCCAGTGTGGTTCAGCGGCGAATACGTAGCGCCCACAGCTTACTGCGTTGCGTGTGGTAGGACGAGAGTGGCACACGCCCCTGCATTAGCTGAAAAAGAACACTACAAGTATAGAAAGGTGCCCCCTGGGACCGGGGTGCGACACAGTGACACACACACATACAGAATGATGCACATACCCAAAGCCTGTCAATTGAGGACTAAGGCTGCGCACGAAAGCCTCAAGAAGCACCAGCTTGGCAACTACAATGCGGCGCTGGCGGGACCAAGGGCACCATGAACTACCACGAATCCCGAGCAGTCCAAAATGCGGCAATGCATTGGACAACTGCCGCTTTAGCTAACCACAGTGGCGGGCAAAGCTACGCTGCTAATCTAAGAAGCAGGCCCGAAGCAAGACCCGACAATTCCAGGTCACCTGACTGGACAAATGACGCACGCTTTTCTAGTGATGCGAGTGGCCGACAAAATCCCCTTGTTTAGCCAAACCGATGTTTTGCAAATTTAAAGCATCGATGCGGCCTCCTGCAACATGTGGCTTGGCATGAGTGATTGGTATCTATCAGGTCTCAGTGTTTGGGCCACCTGAAGCTGTTGGTGTTTTGGGGTGTTCCCCACATGCCCTTGCTAGGCAAAACGCAGCGTCTTGAACAACGAGATCCCTAAACCAAAGCGTGAACTGTCCATGTTTCTTGCCGTCAGAGGTTTGCTTAGCTTGGCGCTGGGGAGAAACGTAGGCACTGCCAAGAAAGAACCAATTTTGAGGTACGAGTATGTACATGTATGTACTAACTAGTGAAGGAATACAACCATCTTGTTGAAGAGCTCTGCCAAAACTCGGATGCCCTCAGCTTTACTCAACTCTATTGAAATCACAGTTGGCATGCTCAGCCCACGAAAGAGTTAAACCCCATCGGTCAAACAGGATTCAAATCAAATAAATCATACTAAGATCCCTACCCCTTCCTGAGGGGGACGTCGAAAATTGTAAGTTACATTTTCCTGCGCGGAGGGCCTCAAAAAATGTAATTATATTAACTTTGAGGTGGCCTGAAAAAAGGTAACTTACATTTTTGAGGCCTCATGGGTGATTTTCCGGGGAAAGACCTCAAAAATGTAAGTTACATTTTTGAGGCACGGTGGCGCGCTTACATTTTTGGACCCCCCCCATCCCCACAATAATTTCTGCTCACGACCACGTCCCGCACGGTCAAATGCGGCATTTCAAGGAAATGCCTGCCCAAACATGTCAGCCGTCAGCCATCAAGTTGAATGATGCTGCCCGCGGCCGGCTGCATCATTTGCATTTTTTGGACTGAAAAACAGATATATCAAATATATATCATATGTGTTTTAAATAATTCTTTTTGGCCGGGGGGGTCTTCCATACACAACTCCTTACTCATATGCCCGCCACATATGCTTCGTGGACATTTTTTTTTATGTACATCCACCTGTCTGCAAACACATGTGTTAGGAGTTCCTGTGCCCACAATACACACACAAATCCTTACTCACCAGAGGGTAGTATATGTTCCTGCTTCTTGGCAGTTTGCTCTGGGTGTGTTTCCTGTTCTTCTTTGTTGATGATGACTCAGACCCACTGCTGTTCCCTCATCTGCTCTTTCTAGCAAGGAACAAGCAGCCAGGGCAAAAACATAGCAGTGATTATGCTCTGCTATGCGTGGGTTTTGCTTTGGCATCCTTCCTTTGGGGTCTTGCTTTGTGTGCGTGGCTGTTATTCTTTGTTGGTGATGACTCATCATGTTTGCCTTCTGCAGCAACAAGCCACACAAAAAACAAAGCAGATGAGGGAACAAACCCGAGTCATCATCAACAAAGAAGAACAGGAAGCACACCCAAAGCAAACTGCCAAGAAACAGGAACATACATGTTCCCACTGAAGACCCCAAAGCAAGGCAACAAAGCGAAACCCAAACATAACAAAGGATCACACTCCATACACAATAAACAATACTGGAGAACAATAAAGGAGAGGCTGCCTGTTCTATTGGGCAGGAGAACAAGGACATTCAACGCCGTTTGATCCCCTGGTTTCTTGCCCCCTGCTTGCGGTTCGTGTGGTCGGACGTGTGTGATTTTCAGTATGCAAAAATGTAAGTACCTCAGGGGGACACCCCAGTTCCTTGTAAATTCTGGGGAGTTGGGCATGTGGCCAAAATGTAAGTTACAATTTGTGAGGTCAAACTTTCTCACAGAACCCATGTATTCCCTGTAAAATCTGTGGGTTTGGATGCGTGGACTAATTGTAAGTTACAATTTTTGACGTCTGCAAATCTCACCTTTTGTTTGTGTCCTGGTCCTGCATTTTTGGAGGCTATGTTTTCTTTGGTGTTGAGGCATCAGCAAACAGTTGCCAAATAGTACTTTTAGTTGATTACTTATTTAGAAAAAATATTTCATTAAGTGACTCCCACCCCCAAATAATTTCTTAGTGATTGGCGTATCTTCGATCTGCCAACGCACCCTGGGGGGGGGGTAAAAAAATGTAAGTTCAGGCCTCCCAGGTCGCAAGTTACATTTTCCAGATCCCCCGCCACTTCGATCTGCCGACCCCCAGTAGGGGGGGGGTATAATGTAAGTAAGCACGTCCCAGGCAACAAGTTACATTTTTTTGCCCCCCGCCCCGTTACCCGTTTCGATGGTGCCTGGGGGGGGTTAACTCACATTTTTTGACCCCCTGGGGGGTACCCTAAAATGTAACTTACTTTTGTGAGGTCTCCCCTCCCGGCAGTAGCTTAAGGGGGTAGGGATATACTAAGTCATATTGAGGCAGCACCTGGCTAAAAAGGTTTTCCATCTTTTGGTTGCTCAGGTGTGTTCAAAGTGCTCCTCTTCTGGTCTACATGAATCGGCGTTTATGATTCCTTCTGCACACCTTAAAGCTCTCACCAAGACATTTGCAGTCAAGAAACGCACGACTCGCTCACCTGGGGTTTGCTTGGACTCAGCCTGATCAAGTACTGATCAGGTACGAAAGTGCTGTACAAAAGTGCTGTCGCACCCGTTGCGATTGACATGTTTGGAAGTTTACTGTTGCTGTGCGTTGCCAACTTGAAACGCATCACTCATCACACCAAACAGAAACACTGCTCCTTCTGTCCTCGATGTTGCTGAGCATGGTAGCCTCAGCACTGTAGAAGCATCACACAAGCTCAATGAATCTCACACCATAGAAACTCAGCGAGCGGCAGGTGAATCTGCAGACATTGCAAGGGAGTTGCACGTCGAGTCTAAGGCTGCCTGACAGCTTGTTCTTGTCGCTGCCCAGTGGGCAGAATGAGCGAAGTTGGTAAGAGTAGGCTGGTTGCTTCCAGGCACTAAATCGGATTCGTGCTACTATTCTTTTTTACTCTTACTACTACTCCTACAACTACTCTTACTATTTACTACCTACTACATTACTATTATGTACTACCTCCTACCTACAGCTAACTACTAACTACTGACTACGACAACAACAACAACAACAACTACTGCTACTGCTACTGCTACTGCTACTCCTACTACTACTACTTCTTCTTCTACTACTACTAGCACCTAACTACCTAGCTACCTAGCTAACTAACTAACTACCTAACTAACGAACTACCTAACTACCCACCTACCAACCAACCTACCAACCTACCTACCTACTTACTACTGCTTACTACTACTGTCCACCCTTCACTCGATGCGATCATGGAAAAAGTCAGCTGCACAACTCTTTCGGTGCGCTTGCTTTCTTATTACGTGATTGCTAAACTTGAACTGTGTTTCCATCTTTCAAGCAAAACAAGAGATTTCAATGCCTCTTGGAAAGCATCGTAGAACTGCCCAGCAGGCGACTCAGGTGGCACAGGCGTTGATGAGAGTTCAAACCACATAGCAGGTTTTCTTGCAACCTCTTGGCTTCATTGACGCAAGCTAAGGCTAAGATGTCGTCGGAAGCATCCAACTGCCAGGAGAGATTGAAAGCCTAAGTCTTTCCACTTTTTGAGCAAGAGCTGAGTCAGCAGCAAACATATGGGATCAGCGGCTTGTTGCCAGCAATCCGATTTGTCACCTCCAGCGATTTTGCCCGTGGTGAACACAAAGACTGAAACAGTGCAAAGCACAAGAGGACTGATCAAAAAGTCCTTTCACTGAAAGTGCAGTTCTTTGCGAAGTAACAGGTATTGCGTATGTATATTTACTCCCCCTTCAAATTCGCACTCACACCCGGACTGTCAATTCTTTAGGAACCCCCAGGTTCAGGGTCCAGAAGTGGCACTAAAAAATCAAGGACATTCTCTAAAGAATCAATAGCCAGAATGCCTCTGCTAAAGAATTGGAGACTTGAAGGAGAAGGCCAAAAGGCTTAAAGAATCAGACAGTCCGGGTTCGAGTGGAACAAAGTCGACTCACGCATGTGTTTCTTCATGACTTGCAGAAAATGTTTCTTCATGCTCTCTGCATCTGTGGATTAAGCCCGTGCTTGGATTTGCAAATCTGGCTTTGCAAATAAAAAATCAGCACCAATCTCGAGGTATTGTTCGACAACAAAATTCTCTAATAAATCAATCGCCTCTTGCCCAGGTTCCAGTTGTAGACTGGCACTGTATGTTTTCATCCGTTTCTTTTTTTTTTATGACAACCCGGGTTGTCTGATTTTTGAGGAAATTCGCATGGCGATTAGATTTATAAACATAGATATGTATATATATTATTATATATTAATGTATATTATATATACAGTATAGGTTTGTATTTCAATACGGGGACCTCCCATTCGTATAGCCAGAGGTTTTTGAGGGTCTCCCTATTCCAATACACAGCCATATAATTCTATAATATATATTTGTAGCTTGTATTGTAGTCGAGTCTTGTGTCCCCAAGCACGCAAGTGGATTCAACAAAGTGTATAGTGATCGGACGTGCAGGAAGACCCCGCACCCATGGCAAAGATGAGGCGGTCTCCAAAGGAAAGGGACCATGCGAAGACATAAACCGTCTCCAGACATGATGAGTTATTTCTGAAAGCAGATCGACTCGAAAAGCAAGACGCGATAGACCGGTTTCCGTTCAGGACGTGTAGCTTTTGTGGAGTTTTCACGACGTTTTGCCAAACTATTAAATTGTGTCATAGTCATAGTCTTTGTCTCGCACTTGCGTCTATCCCAATTAGTTGTCTGAGCCGCAGGCTTTGGATGGGAAATAACACCTTTTTCCTCAAACAGTGTGTCCACACTCCACACGAGGGGTTCTGACGGTAGTAGAAGGACAGGTGCGTGATAGGAGGTGCTCTTCCATTCACCTCGGAATCTTCGAAGTGCATTTCGACTGCGCAGGCTCACAGAGTCTCGTGGGCCGCGGCGGGCTCCTCGAGGCTGCGCATTTTGAGACTTGGTGATCCGTCTACGTGGCAGGCACCAAAAAACCTCGTGCTTTGGTGGTCTAAAGTCGACTTTTCGTGACAGGCAGGAGATTGGGGCGGCTTTTACGTCGCGCAGATTTCGTAGCAGGTGCTGCAGTATTTTGGACATGGCGGCGGTCTTCGGTGCTCTCATTCCGTGGCAAGTGCAGTGAATCGTGACTTTTGGACCACTTGTGAACCTTGATGCGCAGATTTCGTGGCAGTACGTTGTGGACCTTGAAGTGCAGATTTCGTATGATTTCGTGGCAAGCACGTCACTTTTTGGACCTTGAAGTGCAGTTTTGTGGCAAGCGCAATGCTTTGTGGAGGTTGAAGTGCTCACCACCACCATCTCCACAACCATCATCACCACCATCATCACCGCCGCCGCCACCGTCACCACCACCACCCTCACCACCACCATCGTCACCATCATCACCACCACCATCATCATCACCATCACCAACACAATCACCACCACCACGCCTGCACCTGCACCACTGCACCACTGCAACACTGCACCACTGCACCCCACCACCACCACCACCACCACCACCACCACCACCACCACCACCACCAGCATCACCTACACCACCACCACCTGCACCAGCTGCACCAGCATCACCTGGACCTACACCACCACCACCTGCACCACCACCTGCACCTGCACCTGCACCTTAACCACCACCTGCACCACCACCCTCACCTTTACCTTCACCTTACCGCCACCACCACGATCACCACCACGATCACCACCACGATCACCACCACTATCACCACCACTATCACCACCATCACGGCCACCACCATCACGGCCACCACCATCACTACCATCACCATCACTATCATCACCATCACCATCACCATCACCACCATCACCACCACCACCACCACCACCATCACCACCATGATCACCACCTTCATCGCCACCACCATCACCACGATCTCCACCTTCATCACCACCATAATCACCTCTCTGTGGAGTCCAATGCATCTAGATCTCTAGACCTTCTGCTTCTACACCTCTGGACTTCAGACAGGTAAACACACTGTTTGGGTCTCTTGCCGGGATAATCCTTTGGTGAGGGGCGGCTTTTGTGGTTGTCGTTGTTGCCCTGGATTGTCAGCCACGCAAACCAAGAACTGAGTTGTCACCAAACTTCCTCTACTCTTGGATCAACATCTACAAGGAAACTCTTGCGAGACAGACCTCGCCGCAAAACAGCTGCTTTAATCGGCCCCTTGGCAGATCCCTTTCATGGTATATAGTATATATACATATACGATCTTTAAACATCCAACTTCCAACGCAAAGGCAAGTTCCAAGGCTAGAGCAAAGCATGAGGGTGTCGGTGCAGTTTCCGCATCCAACCTAGCCAGGTTGCGTCAGCCAATCATGTAGGATACCCATCATAATGCACACCAAGGCACTGTTTGGCCATTGGTGATATTCACCTGAAAGCAAGTGGGTAAAACTAGATTGAATTTTCAATCTATCGACCGTTTCTGATGGCCTCGCCATGGATATTGCACAAGTACTCCTCAATAGGAGTGTATGATATCAGCGCCCACCTCAAAGTACCACAGCGCGCGATTCGGATTTGCATTGCCCTGAATCCCTTGGAGCAAGGATGTTACTACGGGCTCCTGGCATCAATACTAGGAACAAGAAGCTACTAGGGGCTCCTGGCCTTACTACTAGGAGCAAGGACGCTGCTAGGAACAAAGGGCATCGCTACTAGGATTTGGGCGCTCCGAAGACACTGGTAACGCATCCTATCCAGAAGAAATAGGTCCTTGGATCAGCAAGGGTGCTCATTCCCCTCCGGAGAAGCTAGAAACCAATTATGGTTGGACAGTTCAGTTGCTGGCACTAGGCTAGGAGTAAGCCCAGCCCGTACTGCTCTAGCAGATAATCTTGCAGTCCTGCAGCTGATTTCGACTCACCCTGGACTCAACACAACAAATGGTCACTGCACAAGCGTTACAAAAACAACTGCAAGTTGAAGCTGGCGCTGCACCAGTCCTTTGCAGAAATCCCATTGCGGTTTGAATTCGTGTTCCTTTGGAACAATCACACTCTTCTGTTATAGTGTCTTTTCTAGGCGTTCTTTGCTTTCTGGAAGAATCAGGGCGCGGGATTCCAAATCAACTTCAAACATATTCAACAACGCGAGCAAGTTCCGTTAAAGGAAGCAGAACTGTGACTTGACTCGGTTGCTCATGTTTGGCCCTCCTATCTACAGCTTGAGACATTGGTGCATCAGCAGGTCTTGTCCAGATCCGCAAGACAACTTCACAAACTGACAAACTGGCACACACATATATATATATATATTATATATAGAGAGAGATGTAAGTTTCATTGGTTTTGGCTGCCATGCGCAGCTCACACGGTATCTTTGATTAAGTCGCAAATTTTGTCTAGCAAAGGCACAGAAATTAAACCTGATGTCAAAGCCGGTTCAACTGGGTCGACTTAGTCAACTTTGAATCTTTATCCCATTCACCAACTTTCACCCACTTTCCTATTGCTGGTATCACCAGCAACTGTCATTTGTGGGCGAATTGTTTGAATGGTGACTCACAGAGCTTTGGCCCGCTGTACACGGAAGGGCTAAGAGAATTCTGCACCTTTACCTGGGCAACATTTCCAGCACAGGAAGGCAAGGCAGCAGCTTCTTCTCATTTGCTTGCAAAACAACATCTTCGGAATCTTGCAACATTTCCTTTTCTTATCCAGTATGCTCGCACCTGTGGCCTAGTCTGCTTTGGTAATTGCATCCTCGGATGTCAGGGCGGCAGAATACAACGAGCATGAGATAGAGTAGAGAGAGACTGTGAGCACGATATCTACAGTTATCTACACATGCACATATTATGCAGCAATATATTTGTGTGGGTCAAAACCTAGCGACTCCGATTAACTCCCCAAAATGAACAAATTGGACTACCACGGAATCAACTCATACCATGGTTTGCGGGCGGTTGGTATCGATCCACAGGACCTGCAGCATTTGTGAAATGAACAGTTACGATAAACACATTTTAGTGAGAAGAGAAACAGAAGGTCAGGACTTAATGAGTCCCCCCAAAATATGTGCAATGACAAATCGCTTCCTCTTTGCAGTCTAATGGCGAGCACAGCTGCTTGCTGTGCTGGGTCACAGTTGTGTAAGAACCCATGACCTGAAAAATCGCAAACAAAAGAAGCTCTTGCACAACTGAACAACTGAAACATGTTTAGCTATAATTATATTGAAATCTGACTAAGTTACTTACCCATGGTCTTCTTGGAATGGACCAGCGACCCGTTCACCTTTATCTCGAAGTTTCCTGTAACACCAGGATCCTTGATTTCAGAGAAGCCAATGTCCTCACAAGCGCCCGAAACATCTCACTATTTCTTAATTGCAACGACTCAACGGAACAAATTTGCATTAGATTGTCACTGATACATTGTAATGTTTGCTTGTCCTGTCCTTGCCCGGACATTTGCTCTTAATCAGCTCAATTGCAGCCTTGCTGTGCTTGCCATATCCTCATCCTCCACAGTATTGAATCTCCTCAGCAAGCAAATAACAAGCAAACAAAGGCACAAGCGCAGAACCGACATGAAATGACATCAGCCCATTCTGTCTGCTGCAATGGATCCACTGCGGGCATGGAAATCTGTCTTTTTTTGCAAGGTGAACACGCGCTGTGCTCCTCTACGCCAAAGAGCCATGAAAAGACTGGGCACGGGCTGGCTGTGAACAGTTTACAAATACTCACAAGTGACAAACACAATGCGAGCAACATCAAGAAATTTTGGTCTTTTCCTCTCGTGGAAATCGACACTTGGAGGGCTGGCTTTGGCCACTCCTATGGTCCTTGGGTACATCATGTTACATCTTTCGCCACTAGTTGCTATCTACTTGGTCAGAAGTCTCAGCAACCGAGTACCTGGTGACAAGAGTTTTTTCTGAAGCACACTGGCAGGAAACGCACTGACACAACTTGCAGCTTTGGATGGAGCACCCTGCTGGAAGCTCCAACTCTTGCATATCAACAAATGCCTCAAGCTTGACCGCTTGGGTTGCTCTTTGGACAGGGTGAGTGTACCAAACTACTTTCCTTCAGTCTTCATCTTCAAGTTCGGTCGATTATTCAGTCTCCGTAATTCTTAGTTTTCATGCAACTGATGTACCAAAATAGTGTGTATATATATATTTGTATACACATATACAGCGTAGCCATCAAGGTGTTTGTGTTCAACCAGCCAATGCACTTGTCGGCATGCTTGTTTCTGATGTGTTTGGAGGTTTTGGGACTTCTGAGACGAAGGCAGCATCATGTGGGATGTCGAGAGACTCGGCCTAAAGCTAGATCTATAAACTGGTCTCATTGGTTTCCCTTTTTGCCTTTGGAATGCACTGGAACGCTGCCTGCTGAGCTTCTCTTGTCGCCTTGCATTTGGAAAGAGCTTCTATGCGTCCTAATACGACGCTGCATTAACAACCCAACACCTGGTCTTCTCTAAGCTTGTCCCGGAGCTCTTTGTCCTGCCTCGCCTGAATTCAACGACGCCCAAACACTTTGACTTTGGGTCATCAACCCAATTCAACCTGTAATTCTGTCACCTAGATGACAGCAGTAAGACTAGTTTCTGGGTATTTGACATGATTTGTAGATATTTGTCATGCATGTATGTGGTCATGTTGCAAATGTGTATACATGTGTATATATATATATGTTTTTTTTAATGCATGTGCAATCATGTGCATATATGAACAAAAATATATATATATATGTATATATATATATATTACATGTGTGTAAACAAAGCCATACCTCCAACAGTCAGGACCCGTTGATGATGGGGTTGACGTCTTGGATGAAACAGCACACACACACTGAAACAGCAGAATGCAATTGCAATGAAGACCCGTCAACACAATTATTGTGCATCTACTAGTAGCAAGGACGCTATTAGGTGGAGGCCATCTCAAGTAGGTTGGAGGCCATCGCTACTAGTAACAAGAAGCTACCATGTGCACACCATGCCACTTGGAGCACCCGTGAACTCTTTGGACATCCTGGAATACTTCTTTGAGCCTGCTCCTTCAAGGCCACATACCATTGGCGAGTCTTTCATGGACCACTTCAATCTCTACAAGCTTATTTGCCGGACTACTGTATTGCTTCGAGATTGACTCCCCACGTGTGTCCCTTTTTTGGAAGAGCCCTGAGCCCTGCCCTTTTCTTCCTTCCAAACTACTTGATGAGTTCAAGTGGCAGCGTCTTTTATGTCTGACATGTCACACAGGGTGTCACGATTTGGAGGTGTGGCTGGACTGCATGGTGAGCAAGAAAAATCCAGACCAACACACTTGAAAAGATTGTTGTTGGTCTTTGAGCTCTCCATCAGATTGGTCTTTGTCTTTTCCTACTTTCTGGTGTTGATCTCACCTTTGTCCAGTTGCTTTGGCAATGCTCATGGTCGAAGGGCAAGACTCAAGGACTGAAACTGAGCAAAGGATTTGTCCTGAACCTGTTCACAGTCAGTGGCACCGGCACTCATTTCTTGGAAGGGGCATGGGCTTTGGCAGAGTTTGGAGCGACCTTCCATGCGCTCAAGCAATCGGCCTTCCATGTCTCATGCTGGGTCAATGCAGTGAGGTCAGTGTGTGGAGGCCAGCCAAGGCCTGTGACTTGTTCCCTGACCGCACTCAAGGACTTGAGATTGAGGACTTTGACTACATCCTGCTGCAGCCGCTCTAGCTTTACTCCGTTCAAAAGGGCACCACTCGTGGAGACCTTCACCTGAGGATGAACCAACTGGCTAGAGCCAAGGAGAGAGCTGCTGAGGAATATCCTCAGGAGACCGTTGAGTTGCAGGAGGTCACGGATGAGAGTGTTAGAGGCGGGGGGCACGCATGGTGGGAATTTCTCTGCAAGAAGGAGCGCTTCTGCATCTGGAATTCACGGGAACCAAGAGCTGGTTTGTTAGACCTTTGTGACCTTTGTGGAAAGCCCATGCACGCATCCCAGTTGGAGCGTTTGGACCGTTCTCCGTCACGCTCGCCTCAAGCAGGGTGGGCCGCGACAACTAGAGCACTGGTTGCGAAATGGTCGACTTTGTGTGCGACTTCCGTTCGTCAGTCGGAACCTCGAGCATCCGCACTTCTTGCTACCATAGCATTTGCATGGTAGCGGAGCTCTGACCTAACCGGGTCATCTCCAGGCACCTTTTCCACTACAACCTCTCAACACACACACCACCACAGCAACAGCGTTACATCACACCACAAGCCACAACAAACAACTCCATCGGGTCAATAGACCCCGGCACCCAGGACAACGTGTCCACCGCCCAGGCCTCCACAAGCCTGGATACAAACAGTTTCAGGGATAACTTCATTCCCCAGTTTGATGGCCAGCCCCAATCATACGTTGAGTGGAGAAAGCGCATCAACATCTACTATACCTGAAGATGAAGCTCCAGAAACGAACTGGAGAACGCTGCCTCAACTTGATTGGAAGTTTGCAAGGAGCAGCTTTCGACACCATCCTTGAGCTCCTGGATAAGGCATTCGCCTATGACAACAGGGTGCAGATGCCTCAAGATTTTGAGAATTTCTTCAGTTATGGAGTCAGAAAGCCAGGCGCCACCATGTTGCAGTTCTGCGCCGAGTTCGATGAGAAGTTCCGCAAGGTGCAGGCTCACGGTGTCAAGCTGCCTTCACAGGTCCTTGGATGGTTCCTCCTCAAAAAGGCCAACATCACCCAGGAACAGCGCCAGATGGTTCTCACACAAGCTCCGGGGCTGGAGCGCACCAAGGTGCAAGAGGCGCTGTACCTGATCCTTGGACAGGATCACAAGGCCGCTGTCATCACTGACAAGCGACCATTTGGTCGTGGCAAGGGACAACGCGCCTATGTGGTTGATGAGAGCTGGGAGGACGAAGATGTCTTCTATGAAGGGGAGCTTGATGACTACCACGACTACGATCAAGTCCCCATCGAATCCTGGCAAGACGATGAGTCAGGTTTGGACCACGACGCCGGCTACTTCCAAGTCGATGAACCTGAAAAGGAGGAAGGTTTTGTCGCCGCCTCAGCTGACTGGGACATTGAAGAGTACGACACGGCCTGTGCCACATACCTTGACGTGAGGAGACGTTTTGCAAATCTCAAGCTGAGCCGTGGCTATCTCCCCACCGTTGCCTTGCAGGATGACAACACCTCACAAGCTGCCTCACCACCTCGCTCTCCATCGAAGGGCAAGGAACATCGGAAAGGCAAGGGCGGCAAGAAGGGACGATCAGGCTCCAACACAGTTCGCTATCCTCCACGCTCTGGTGGAATTCGCTGCGGAGGATCTGGTCACATGGCAGCGAACTGTCCGGAGCTGTCAAAAACTTCATCAGGTGGTCCTTCTACGCAAAGCGCCAGCACACAGAAGGGATGGCTGCCTCACCAACACCCATGGATGAGCCAGCGACTTGAACATGTGGAATCGGAGGAGGAAGACGAAGACTTGGAACAGGTGACACAGACATGGTTGAAGACGAATTTGAATACACTCCGTCACCGCCAGCGCACAGACAGCATCAGCCACAGGCCTCACAAGAGCCACAGGCATTACGTCCAGAACGACAACCTCCTTCTGAGGTACCAAGTCCACCGCCATCCACATCCGCTGCACGAATCCCACTTGATTCGGCAACAGAGGCTCTGTACCAGGTACCACAACCAGGTGAATCATTTCAACTTCTGCGCAATACCAGGTTACCAGGCCGCTTCACTCATCCAAGCATCCAAGCAGAGCGCACAGATTGTCTGATTGAAGCCCTGAAACGATGCTGGTTTGCTCACTTTGGACCTCCTGCCCAACTGTTGACCGACGAAGGCAGAGGCTGGTTGTCCGATGACTTCGCCAACTTCACCGACGAGCGCTCCATCCAGCGCACGGTTGCGCAAGGCGAAGCCCACGAGCGCTTGAGCCTTAAGGTTGAACGACGCCATGCAGTCCTTCGCAAAAGCTGTGAACTGTTCCTCAAGGACTGCCAAGAAGGAGGTAACTGCCTCATCTATGTTGTGCCTCAGCTGATTGCACAGCCCAACGTGTCCTTCACAATGGCTTCTTCGACAAAAGCCGCACTTTCCTGGAGACCTTCTGAATACCGACCTCTCACCACTACATCTCGAAGGCTTCAGGGGTTTTGAAGAGGAACTGCAAAAGAGAGCAACTGCCCAAATGGCAATCATCCAGACGGATGTTGATCGCAGGCTCAGACGTGGTCTTCTTCGTCGCTATTTTGGCAACAGTGCTCAGTGTCCCAACTTCTTCGATGTGCACGGCACCACCTGCGACCGGACATCGACCAAGACACCAGCGCCCTCATCGAGGGACTCCAGCACGCCAAGCGTGACGTGGCCGCACTCCGAAGCCGCGGTGTGACACGCCGCACGTTGGGTTTGAATGCGGTCATCATTCCAGATCACCAGAGCGCACCTTGACCAGCCGCATGTTGCTCAAATGGAGCAAGAATGCTGATGGCTACCCAAGAGCCAAAGCTCGCCTTGTTGTTCGAGGCTACGCCGACGTGGACGCCCTTGCAGGATCCTTAGAGACTGCCTCGCCGGCTTCCACAAGACTTGGCAAGACCTTGTTCCTGAGCCTCAGCAGTTGTTTGGGACTCGGAGAACTGGCCGACCTCAGACTGTCCTGCATGTTTGACGCAGCGCATGGCGTACGACATGATGGAAGCAGCCAAGGTGGATTTTTGTGTTTGCTCACCCACAAATGGAAGCCTTTGAGGGCGTTGAAACGCCATACCATGTTTTGGAGTGGAAATCCTTCAAGCTACCCCGTGTTGCCCGCTCATCTTGCAGCTGAGGCACAGGCCGCAGGAGCAGCAGCTGACAGTGTGGAGTTCATTGTCAGGTTCTGGAATGAGCTGATGAAACCAGGACTTGATCTCAAGGCCAATTTGGCCATGGACACTTCATCACTGCAGCCGGTTCTCATCACCGACGCAAAAGCGTTGCGCGACACCTACCACCGTGATGCCTTCAACCATGGGTCCAACGACAAGCGGGCCGCTTTGGAGGTTTAAGTCACTCGACAGCAGGTCGAGAGCTTTGGTGGCAAGCTGAAATGGGTTTCCTCAGAACGCCAATATGGCGACGGCCTCGCCAAACTGGCCGCCAGACAACTTCTGGCAGATCGCTTGCGACATGGAGCGATCAAGTACACCTGGAACCCTGAGTATGTGGCCGCCAAAAAGAAAACGGTGGAGGACAGATGGAGCAGTCAACACGAGTTCACAAACACTAAACCAAGCAACAAACCACATAACAAGCACCAAACCAACACACAAGAATCACCACAATCAACAATGGATGGAACACCATCCATGGACACGGGACTCGACCTTGAGACCCGGGACGAGGGACTTGACAAGTTTGCCGCTCACGAACCCGGCCCGGTCGCACTCGATCTCGACCCCTGGCCATGGCCATGGATTTCAAGCGATGATGTCGCTACTGGATGCCAAGAGCCGCTGCTGCCGAGGCGATGACTTCGCCCCCCTCTGCAGATGGCTGCTGGACGTTCCAGCTGGCGCTGCATGGTTCTGGCCGCCTTCATGCTCGGCTTTTGGGCCGCGCGACGGCGCTACATGCCACGACTGGCTAGCCATGAGCATAAAGAACCAAGCGCTGGAATCGATGGAGCTTCAACACCTGCGCACCTATGAGAGCCAAGCCGCAAACCGAGAGTTGAGAGGATCACATGCTCTTCTCGAAGCGGAGCTCGATTTCACTCGTGCGCAACTGGAGGAGCCATACCTGCACTTCGAGCTCAAGGAACCGTTCTTCCGGTCACACCGGAGGAAGAGGCTGCCAGGCGATGGAATCAGAGGCCAGATCGGCCCTCACTGATGCAAAGGCCATTCCCAACCGGGCTCTACGATCTCTACGAGAGCTGACCGAACATGCCCGCGTGTGCCCGATCCGGGATGAGATCTTCATAGCCCCACAGTGTGGCATCTTCGACCAGATTGCCGGATTTTGACCAACCAAGCCACAGATGAACGAGTGTCTACCAGTGGTGCACCAATTGCGCCTCCATGGACATCCCGCCGAACCGCATGCACCCGAACTCACGACGGACATTGGCCGACGACATCAGCATGTGATAGAAGAAACCCACCATGGAGATGTGATTTACGAAGCTTGAGCCAGAAACGAGCTTCGATGCAGCAGGCTGGCTTGGTGCCTGATGGACAATGAAAGTCCATAGAAAAGCGAAGAGAACAGTGAATGCTTGTTCCCCTTCCGACCGTGTGATTTGCACTCCATGCATCCCGGTTGGAGCGTTTGGACCGTTCTCCGTCACGCTCGCCTCAAGCAGGGTGGGCCGCGACAACTAGAGCACTGGTTGCGAAAAGGTCGACTTCGTGTGCGACTTCCGTTCGTCAGTCGGAAACTTTGTGGCAGGGCCGTGTGACGCACACAGTGGAGCGCACTGGCTTCAAGGCATCCTGCACATGTTGTGGAGCCTTCGGCCGCATTGGCGCAAGTGGCGTCGAATTGAGTGCCAAACTGAGAAATTTGGCCTTCCACGGCTAACGAGACCTCCGAGAACTATTTAAGTGACATCATGGAGGAGCAAAGGAATTGTGTAAAGAACTAAAGATGTACTGTACCTTCTTTATACACAGATTGAAGGGTAAGCAAGACACTGGATAACATTCCTCTTGAGAAAGCATGGGTGGCTTCTGGGTTCTGGAGGACTGTCCTTTACCGCTTGCTTGGTGCATGGAGGCTTGTGAGTGATAGTCATGGGTTAGCCAAGTGGTGGCTAAATGGGCGAGGACAACATGTTTCATCTGTCCTAGCAAATTCGCGCACTGCAATTTTGCCACGCCTGTGTGTCAAACTGTGCTCCATGTAGGCATGTGTATTCGAGGTCGAGCATTGATAAGTATCTGGGACTTGTCATGATTACAGGTCTGATATGCTGCGACTTGTGTGCGAACATCTGTCACCTTTCAAAGCACGCTTCGACTGCGCTCTCATCATCATTGCGCGGCGGTCAGCCGCACATGGCCGCTTCATCGCGGCTCTTGAAAGTACTTGCTACTTGTTTTTTTGTGGTCCTTCTTTGCTTTGAACAACCGATGTGAATCAACTTGTGTATGGTCTTTTCTTATGTTGTGGTTCCTTCACAACAATTGCTGATGAAGGTGGCACGTGCAAAACTGAGTACTGTAAATGGACCGCGTGCAGAAGCAAGACCGATTTGACGTGCAAAAGCGAGAGACCGTCCAGCTTATGTGCGGAAGCTATTGTTTTGTTATTCCAAAGAGATGTGCAAATTATATGGTGTTGGACGTACAATGTATATATATAACAATAATTGTATATACACTGCCTGTTGGCATGGTAAATCTTCCCTCAAGAATCCGGGAACCTTGAATAGTTTCTTCTTTGGCTGTACTTTGATAGATGAAGATAGATGTGTGACAAAAGCAACAAGAATGCATTCATTGCACGATATCACATGTACTTAGACAAAACTTGCAGGCACACTGCCAGTCTGTGCCTTGATGATCGCCTTCTTTTTGCGAAACACCTTTGGACTTCTTGCACGGTGATTCACGTGAAACCTTCGGGCCGTCATTCTCGAATGCTGAGAAATTGTTTCAGGATGTTTCAGGGTTTCATGGCTGTGCCTTGTAATCCCACGGTTTCTCATCTGCTGTGGCATCAAGGCTGGTCGTCTAAATACCTTCACTCCTGGCTGGTTTGCCGTGGGCGTTCAACTATTTTAACTGCCAAGTTCAAGCTGTGTGGATGAGAAACAAATGCGGAAACAATCGAACACATCGGCCAGTGCCTTCCATGATCAGAAACTCTTTCAAGTGACGGCAAGCCGCCAAGCCAATCTGGTTTGAGGTCAACAACTCAATGAATATCTTGCTGACACCCCATTCTCTGCAGCTCGATGTTTCTTCGTGCACAAATGTGCACAACATATACGCTATACAAGTGTCTAACAGTCTAACAAAAAAGACTCATGATAAAGACATTTGCACGGAACATACGTGTATAGCACCAGTAATCCGTCATTAGAGTATACATTCATTTACAATATGTTGCAAGGCCACGGAGCGGATGATGGACTTGGTTGTTGTTGGCGACACATATTATCGATCACACATATTATCCATCTCCTTGTTTGGTTAAGTCGATGCTCGCCTACCAGTTGAGGTACTCGCAGATTTCACCCAAAGCTTGGGGTCTGAACTTGGTGTTAGAACACTCCGCCCTTGGTAAAGTATCAAGGGTGAGCTGCACCACCTTCCCTCCAAGGACTTCTTGACACGAGATTTGAGATCTCTTTGATGGTTTGACTCAGACATAGTTGCAGATTTTGTGCATACCAACAGCTCTTGCTTCAATAGGTTCCTCTCCTTGAGCTGTCGGGTGGTTTGCTAGCATCCCAACCAGGTCCTCGTTTCAAGCTAAGCCTCATGCATACAACTTTCCCCGTAGGATCGCATCAGGTGCGAGCCCAGCAAAGCAACGGAAATTACATGAAATTACATGAGTTCACTGACTGTGCTGTGCTACGAATCTGTTGCTACGAGTACAAATCAATTGAGCATTAATTGAACTCTATTCTTGGAGTCCATCGATTCTACAGTGCCACAGTAATTCTTTTGTGGCAACCTCTGCGATAGCTCATGAGGTCGCTGTCATCAGTTTGAGTGAGGTGCTAACTTGGGTCGTGGAACCCCAGGTCAGGTACTTCATGCCTACATGCGGCGACATGCCGACTCAGTCCTTTTGGAACCCAAATGTCAAGCACTTTCGTGCCATACCCGCTGATTGACACCCATCCTTGGCCAAAACGGCTTGCATCTGCATATAACTGCTGCACGTCACAGTTAGTTCCTCAAACCAACAATTAAACACAATCTTTTTGTCCCAAGCAGTTTGGGCCCAAACCCATTCCAGCAATGACCTTTGCAGGCTGATCAACACCGTAGGTAAGTATCACCTTGCCTGCAAAGAATGCCTAAGAAGCTGAAAGCAACACGCAGCACCAATCTTCCCAAGCGCATGACAATATCATCCCAAGCGCGATCACTGCTGCCAAAGACCTGACAATGACAAATATGACTTAGAGCTTCGCATGAACTGAACAAATATGAAACAGTCTCACCTCGACACGGTGCCGCACCAGTGGGCCTAGCTTCTCGCAACTTTCGCCTTAATAGGCCACGATAGCTACTAGTAGCTCCTGGCATTACTACTAGGAACAAGGGCATTACTACTAGTAGCAAATAGCTAGTAACAAAGGGCATCGCTACTAGGAGCAAGAAGCTACTAATAGGCCACGATAGCTTTGCAATTCCGCAACGTCGTATCACTGCAAAGAAGTTGCTGCTGTGAGGTGGATAGAAAAAGGTACCCGCTTTCTTGCTCATAAGGTCCTGCCACGCATCCAGATTCTACCATCTGACAAAACTCTCAGAATGATGAAAAGAGTTGCTTTAGTCCTCCACCTTGCAGGTTTGGCCTGAATTTCTAAGGCTCCATGTCCGAAACCGCTTTAAGCTCTCTTTAACAATGTAGGGCCCTCACAAACATGCAAGGTGATGCCAAGGCTAAAGAAAGAGCTGATGAAGCTAATGTTTCCCTGGCAAGTGCATGAGAAAGATGGGCTCAGATCAAACAGAGTGAAAACAGAATGGAGCTGGTGGCACTGGCACTGAACATCATTGAAGTTGAACTTATACTTATACTATCTTGATCTATCTTGTTTGAGTGTTGCCAGATACTTGAGGCCGGGGGTTGGTGACGAAAGGTAGCATCGGGAGGGGAACGTCTTTTTCACATGCAAAAGTGATGTGTGGGCAAGCTGTTGTTCCCAAGCTCAAAGGCAGTTCCGCATCTAATCACATGGCCTTAAAACGGATGCAACGAGAGGTGTGGATGCGTGGCATGATGTGAAGCATGTGTCACAATCAAATGTGTGTATACGTCGAAATGAAGCGAAACATAAGGGCCCCACGGGAGGGAAGGGGTCTAGTCCACTGAGTGGCCGATTCCATTCCCCAGCCAAAAACTTGCTAAAGCAAGAGTAACTCCACGTAGCTGATGCTACATAGGTTTTGTGACAAGTAGAACGTCATGGGAATGTGACACGAATGCCTGAACCTGATCAATTCGCACAAGTCCACCAGCCACAAATGAACGGCCTGCAGCCGAAGAAATCCAGTGGACTGTGGAGTTCATGACTTGTTCGATTGTGTCATTCCAAGCCCTGTCGTGTCCTGTGTGAAGAGCATAGGAAATGGCATTGATGCGCCGGCGGGGAACCACCTTGCCACAAAGGGCCGAAACAAAGTGTACAAAGAAAACAAAGTGGCTTTATTTTCAAATTGCATGTTTAAAGGAACACATGGTCATCTTGGTCTTGGCAGCGTACTGCGTATAAATCTATGGCTTCCTGTAGCTTTGCGGTCACCTGCGAGGAATTGGGACTTGGACTTGGGACTTTTTGAATCAAGATTGCCCATCAAAAGCCTGGCTCTTGGATGGGATGCCAGGCGTATCCACCAAGCGAAAACCCTGCATGGTAGCAGCAGCAAAACAACATGAACCACCATGCCAAAAAGTTGGAATACGGAATTCGGAATGAATGGATACGAAAGAAAGTAGTTTGATGAAGATTGCTCCAAACATTCAGCAGGGGTCTGAGTCTTGAGGGCATGGTTATGCATGCATACATTGTGAGTCCAACCATTCGGGCCAGTATGGATTTTTCTTCCATACGACCTCATACATTTTGAGCAAAAAATAACCTTTCAAGCGCGGCAGCCTTGGGCAAGCCGAAAGAGACAAAATGAAGTGTAGTGCCAGGCCTCAGTTGAAGCCAGCGCACACAGCAAACGGTGTAACGGTCGAAGCGCAGCAAACGGATTTTTAGGCAACTGGCACTGGCGACCGGGTCACACCCCCTACAGCCCTTTTGTAGTGAACCACTCCCTGGTGCCTGGCAGTCAGAAAATGTCAGAAAACATATGGAGTTTGGACAGCTTGGACCTGTAACCAATGTACCACAAGAAGCGGTTCACAAAGGTGGACTTTCCGGAGTTCACTCTGCCAACCACATAGATCCATCTGGGGTCCTTTGTCGTAGCCGTGCCACACATCAAGATTTCGCTTGCCACTTGGCACTGCTAGTCACCTATACCGCGGTCTATTGACATAGGAGTCCGCTGGGCTAGTGACATCTGAGTTGTAGGACACTGCGAATAAGTCATCAGCAGTAGACTTGTGGCCCAGGGGGGGGTGGCGAAAGCTAGGGAAAGAAACAACGCTGGGGCTCTTTTAGCAGCAAAAGCCTGGCCGGGAAGCGCAACATGTCATGGCCGAGGGTAAAGGAGAGTGTCAACAGCACCCCCCAATACAACCCCAACACAAGCAAGACATGGCAACACACAACCACCCCAGCAACAGCAGCAGCAGCAGCAGCAGCCGCCACAACAACAATAACCGTAGCCAGCAGCGGCAGCGGAAGCGGCAGCAAGCACCAAGCAGCAGCAGCTACCAAGCAGTAGCAGCAACCAAGCAGCAGCAGCAGCAGCAACCAAGCAGCAGCAGCAGCAACCAAGAGCAGGAGCAGCAGCAGCAGCAGCAACCAAGAGCAGCAGCAGCAGCAGCAGGAGCAGCAGCAGCAACCGAGCAGCAGCAACCAAGCAGCAACAACCAAGCAGCAGCAACCAAGCAGCAGCAACCAAGCAGCACCAACCAAGCAGCAGCAACCAAGCAGCAGCAACCAAGCAGCAGCAAACAGCAGCAAACTGGAAATGTCATGCGTGCACTCGCTTGTAGTACTTGTAGTGACTTTGCGGCTCCGTGTGCTAGATGGCTTAGGCAAAACATTGCTCACGCGTGATGCATAATTCCTAAAAAATCAAGAACGGGCATCGTGACCACCAGGATGGCCCCCCTTGAGCCTGCAAGGATGCGGCGAAGCACCCCGCCAGGGTCACCGAAGTTGCGAGGCGCACCTCGATTCCTGACCAAGTGTCACCTCAAGAAAACCAAGCCACGCCTCACCTGAGAGTGTCTATTCGTTGCGTTGCAACAAGTGCAGCAACCCTGAACCGCATGAATGGCATCAACCGTACCATGACACGAGTTGGGGCAGCGTGACAATAATATAGTTAATTTAGGATGCACAAAGGGAAAACTCAACTACTGCCATGCTTCCACCAAACATCACCAAACTCTTCATCACCCGCTTCCCCCACCGAACTCTTCGCTCATGCCCCAACACGTCAGCAGCAACCAGCAAGCAGCCAAAGGCAATCAGCAGCACCAAGCATGCAAGCAGCAAGAGACCAAGCAGCAGCAGGTACTGAGGAGAAGGGTGGAGTTGAACCCGCGGGGGGGGGGGGAGGTTAAAGCCTGATAAATCAGGTATCTGCACTCAGGTCCTCGGCTCCCACCCTCCTTGCTAAAGCAAGACAGACTCCAGCTAGCTACAGCTAGCTTTCGTGACAAGGTTGCCAAATTCGAAAGGGGTTCGTCCGTGAATGGCACTTTAAACATGGCATGCATCAACTCGACATGCTGGACCCAAAAAGGCCGGCGGAACAATCCGCAGGTTTAGAATAGAATATGTAAGGAGAAAGATGACTGATGAAAGCTTCATGACTTAGGCATATTCCCTGACTGTTTCCAACTGCCTGAGTTATGTTATATGGTTTCTTGCCGCCCTAGTTCTTTATTCTTCTTCCCAAACACATGTGTATGCATATATATAGATACATTGGCCATCTGGCGACATATTCCTAGGTCATGTGTTGAGGTTTTTATATCAAATACCTCCTGAAACCGTGCAATCTCAAGCGTTTATGACAACATAAATATGTGTGCCAGGGTCAAATGTTGTATGGTTTGACCTGATGAGATAGGAGGAGGGACATGTAGGCTCTTTCCTGATGACTCATGACACAGGTTAAGGCTTATGCTTCTCACCCGACCCATCGTTTCACAAGTCCTATCTCACGTTCCTTCAGTATCATAGCTTTCAAGCAATGATTTTATGATTTTACTTACCACTATTACAGTAAGTACCAAACTCAGCACTGCACCCTTTGTGGGGGTCATCTTTTGGCGGAAATGTGACAATTACATACAACTAACTACCATTAACTACCTATATATGTTTAAACAAGGCGCCCTTAAAATGCTTTGCCTTGCTCCAGACTGTGGTCATGAGTCATACCTGCCTCGCTGAGCTTTCAGGATGTCTTAGCACTCCCTAGCTGCCTAGCACCTAGCATGGCTGCAACATCCATTGATATCCAGGCTTTGACTGGCCGCAGTCCTCAGGTTCCAAATGATGCCTTGGTGAGAGAGGGGTTCGCGTGAACAAACTGAGGGAGTGCGCTGTGGCCTCAAGCGGTCCTCCAACTGCTTGAAGCCGAATCCACTTTGAGAGCTGACCAGGATCTGAAGAGAACAAAAACAAAGGGGACTTAGACGAAAGTCCTAAGTCTCTGGGAGCCCCGGCCACATCGTTTGCATGGACGTTGCGAATCTGACGAGACATCCTGCGCACCCACACCTTCAACCGCTCCAGGCCCTGGCGGATGATCACCATCTTGAACTACCAGCACCGTCCATATCTGAGAATATCCCTACGTTGCTATAGATCACCGGCGGCAACGGCAACGCTGCCGGAGGGTAGACCAGTGCCGCTGAAACAAGTCGTTTCTCACACTCAAAATGTGCTCGGCCAGTTGTGTGGCGTGCGCAGTCTAAGGCACTGCTTCATATTGCATAATAACATACCAATCTAAGAATGTCGTACACTGGCTTGGAGCTTAGTGCGCTACAACTTGCTACCAATTGCTTGATGCAGTGTGGACACGGCAATTTGTGCTTTGCCTTCTCCTTGTTGGCCATGGTGTCCAGGAGGCAATCAACCTTGTTGACGATGACAATGACCGGAAACCTGTAGGCTTTGCAACCAAAATGTGCAACGAGCGTCGGTCTAAGGTGTGAGCTGTCGATTCCTGCAACCATCAAAAAGTTCTGGCACCTCAGGAAAATTAGCAATTGCTCTTGCTGGTTCGCACTGTAACACTCACTGTAGCACATGCTGTTGAAATCTCAAGTAGCACCAGTGAGCTTTCAAAGTCCAGAATGTCGACGATCATTAGCACCTTGTGTCAAGTGTTTCATCGTTTGGCACATTGGAATCGGGTTTGGGGCTTACAAACGAACCCAAACAACACAATGATTCAACCCTTGATCTCGCGTGTCTCGCTAAAATTCTCAGGGGTTCAGGGTCTGAGTCAACATGTCAGGTTGAACACCTCATATTCAAAAACACCAGTACTCATCTTCAGATTGAGTGACACTAAAAGACAGCTGAGCTGATCGCAATCGACCCCTTGCCTTGGGTCCGAGCACGTGTTGACAACTCAGTAACTCCCTACTCCATGCAACGGTGAACAATATTGCACATAAAAACAGCAAAAATCCTATTACAGTATTACTGTAACATATATTAACATCATCACATAGAGTCACATCAAAAGCTCATTTCTCAGAAAATGCGATGCTTGATTTCCCTCAAACTCTCGGAACTGTTTCGACAATGCGAAGAGCCCTTCTGTGTCGTTGCATGTAGCAGCTTACTTCAGTTACGACAGCTACGTCTTACTAATTCATTTCTAGTACTTCGCCCTCAACTGCCTGCCCTGCCCCCGTTCTGGCAAAACGGACAAGACAAATTATTGTGTTGAGTCTCAAGAACAAGAACGCGACTTGAAGGAGGCAGCATCGCGTGTCATCCTTTTTCGCCACACAGGTATGTACTGCACTCGGGGCTTCTTCCGTGTGTTGGCATTGCGCAAGAATCCTGGCAGTGATTGGTGCCTATCGTCAGTCTCTCAGGGTCTCTGCACCAATGGCTCCACTCAAAGGCTTGCATCCATGCCTTGCCTCCAACATCCTACCTAGATCTTTCTTCCAGTCATGTTGAGTTCCTTCGCCAAAGTCTCTCCAGGTCGAAGGAGTGAGTGGTCAAAGTCTCTCCAGGTCTTCAGTGCTCCTAAAGCTCCTCTTGATGGATTCTCTTGGCCATGACCTCCTAGCGACTTGAAGCTCAAACTCCAAGCAAGCAGGGGATTTCCTGCCGGTCCATCTTCGCCTGCTTTCCGGTGCGATAGCTCTTTTGGTAGTAAACAATGGGATTTGGCAGGCTACTGTTCTGATGCCTGGCTGTAACTCCCGCTAAGATTGCCCGTGACCTTTTGAGGTCTGGGCTGAAGCGCAACGATACAAACACCTTTGGTATTCCGTATGGATAAAATCGGTTGTCGCCGCTGAGTGGGGCGCATACTGCGCGGTCTCCACAATCTGAGTTATGCCTCACCTGCAGCCATTCTTCCACCTCCGTTGCATCAGGTGCATCCACTTTGCACCACCTGGGCTTCCAAGCAAGTCTCTGGAAACAGCTCAATTGACACAGTGTCTACACCTTGCTCTAAACGCATCCGTTGAATACTGTGTCTCGTACTACTACTGCATACCGCACGCTAAAGTTCATGTGGTCTGGTGCCCAAACTCTCCCTCCCTCCCTCCCTCCGTCGCTCGCTCTCTGTCCCTTTCGTCCAAATATCCATCAACAGCAAGCTCTAGCATATGCCGGGATGGTTCTGTGGAACAGCCTTTCATAATTTACACAGGGACAGCTACTTTTGGAGGCAACATGCTGTCATGAGCACTTCCAACTTCCAACTGTAGAAATGAAGAGTGAGATCCAAGGGAATCAAAGCTGACCTTTGTACAATTGCTTCTAAATCCATCTTTTGGCTGGCAATTATATAAGACTATATATTCCCACCTCTTTACAAAATGTACCTCAAACATTAATTACATAACATTATGAGTCGAGTATGTCATAGAACAAAATCTACAATGTACCCCAGCCGAGGCACTGCTTGGTTGCACCGACTCTCCAGAGCGCTACATTCACAAGTGACTCGATATCCCGGGCACGCCGGACCCGAATAGGTTCGAATGGAGGCTCTGTTTCCCACATCTCATCGCGCAAAATGGCTCGTAATGTGGTGCTTAAGAAGGGTAAGGCATGCTGGCTCCAAAAAAGACCAAATTGACTCCAGCGCATTGACTGCTTTGAGCACGAACCTTGGGCACAAACATGTGGCCAATAGGTGCCTCCATCTTCTGGCTTCTTGTTGATGAAGTGAGCTGGCATGATCGGATAAGGATACTGGGCATTGATTTCATGCTCTGCAGCGATGAACAACCGATCAATGCCTGGAAATACCAGTGAGTTGTGGTTTAGCAAGATGCCAGTTTGCACCCGACAAATCACTGCGGCCAGCAGTAGAGTGTAGTCATGACCTAGTGCGATCGGGAGGTCGTTGATGCTGAGTAAAACCAAACGCGGAAATATCCGAGGGCTCCAATGCAAGGGTGTCGCCATACCAGCATGCAGTACAACAATCGGATAGACCGAGAAACGGTGAACTGACTCCACCAGAAGTTCCATGGTTTGTGACTCAATGCCTTCTAAGGGGCCGCTGAGATAGCTTACAAATGCTCGTCTCAACCAGCCATCTTTGTATAAACGCTTATAATTTGTTGTGAAGGTTGCTGCAACATAGGTTTTTAGAAAAGCAGTTACCTTTTTGTAAGGGATCTGCTTTGGCCCCAACGGAACGTCAATCCATCCTGGAGTGCAAATCCCCATCAGGCCTGTCCACGCAAATCGTCCAGCTGCACTTGCATCTTCAGCAAATTTGTTGCAGTTTGCTCCCTCTTCAGGTTGTATCTTTTTTCGCTCAGACCGTGGCAAGGCCAGAACATTCATGCACTTAAAAAAGTGGCTCGCTGTATTTACCTGGCATTCACAGTGCTTTGAATCATCTCCTGGGCTTACGTCTATCAAATCCGGCGCTCCTGCCAGTTTGCCTACTTGACATTTCAAGTGATTTGCAACAAGTGGGTTGGGAGGGGGGGACGTAGACCCAACGCCCTTCTATGCCCCAACGAATGGATCCATAACATGCACAGTCTTCATACTGTCCAGCGCAAAACAGCCATAGATTGTAGGAGTCCTGTGGAAGCGTTGAATTTGAGGGCTCCCCAGAAGCGTTCAGCGGCAGCAGCATGGAATTGAAGTCAACTTGAGGCTTCCAGTTTACTGGGAATGGCCATGTATGCCTAGAGAGTACGAAAGCTGTGCGCATCCGACTCTGCGTCTGCTGCACCCACCTCCAGTCAACGAGCTTGTGACTGCCGAAAAGTCTGCTTGCGCCAAAGGTCTCGGTGCTAAGCACGTTATCGTCCAGAAGCTGGCTGCACCAGAAAGAGAGCCCGGCCGACACGAAAGTTAGGAAGATCAGAGGAGCCTTTGAAGACTTGCAAATGCGCCATGCAAGCTGCATTTGATGACTCCAGTGGCACCAGCAACTCCAGTGATGCGTGATTTGGAGAAGCGGTACCTGTCAAAATTATCCATGAAAATGTAACATGATCGTGGCATCCAAAACCTCCCAGCTATTTGAGCCTCAAAAGCTGTGGCTCAAGAGCAATGGAGTCAACAAGGCATTAAGGAAGACAAAATGCTTGGCCAACTCTTTGTCTGTTTCACCTCTCAGCATTCGAGTCTGAAACGTATTCGCCTAACGATCTTCTCAACGATCTCTGCCTTCAGATGCAAGACAAACATGGGTACCTCTGCTGCTTCTGCTCTTTATTGTACCAGGAGGGGAGAATCGGAATGCACATGCCTGGCCTCGTGTTCCCAATCACGGCCACCTTCCATGCGGTAGAAGCCTCCCTTCACATGCTCATCTAGCCTAGAGCAGCATGGAGCATGTGGCATTGCAAAACTACATGTTGCATAGGAAACCATTGCAAAGGACCTGAGAACACTGTGAATCGCACACACAAGCATACTAAGCATACCATTGTTCTGTTGCAATTGTTCTTGAACCAGAATGTGATGATTGAGCCACATGCGAACGGATACGGCCTGTGATAATGCTGTAACCTGTAGCAACGCTGGCAAAGAAGCAAGCGGGTCTTGTCCTGCTGAGCAAAACGGAGCATGAACAAAAGAAAGCGACCAAGAGCAGGTTTAGCACGGAACAAACAGACTCCTCAAATGAAGAGCTTTTTGACCTTCACCATGTGTTGCTAAGGCGCGTCCTTGTACTTCACTGAAGAGTCACGCAAGACCTGCACACAAAAGCAGTGGAAAGTTGCTGTTCCCACGTAAACAAATCATCTTCACTCACTCCATCTGAAACAAGCCGTCATTTCACACCACTGGATCTCATGGGGTTTGCCGAGATCTGCTGACATGTGGTATTTGTTTCTTGCCCTCGTGTACTGTCTCACGCAATGAGGAGTTTGGATACCTAAACTGTTAGCTGCTAGAAACGCTCAATCCTACGCCCTTAAACATCCTAAAGCCCCGCCGAAAGGGCCTAAAGCTCAAACAAACGAGTCAATAAAGGAGTCAATAAAGGAGTGTTGGCCAATTGTTCTGCGACAGAGATTGAGTGCATCGATGTGCACTGTGTTTGACTGTTCTCAACATTGACTCCTCGTGACAGTGTTCAAGCTTGTGCTTTCTGCACCGAAGGGGGACTGGCAATGGTCTCCCATGCTAGTGTCCTCAATTGCTTCTTTCTGGCAGTCTTCGTTTTGCTAGCTGCTGGTACGAAGCTCAGCCTCAAATACGTAAACACGTCACAGTGACTGAAGGCTCAGCTCCCCAATATTATGTTGAGGTGCTTGCAACTGCAAGAGAAATGATTCAGAATGGTTTCGAAGGAGTTCATTTGATGATACTACGATATATCTGATTATCATGTACACTCTGTTCCAAGGAGCTTTCCTAGAGGACATGCTCCGAGAGTCTCAACACTGGACCCTGGGTAGGACACTTCACACTTCCACAACACAACTACACTGAAAATAGCATGGGGTAATTCAGGAATAAATCATGTTCGTCGCCAGGCTAACTACCATGGCCACCGATTAGTGGACACTGAACACCTGTTTGGACTCACTTACCAACAAAGACTTTTTTCACCAGACTTGTTCAATAGGCATGCTCGCAAAATCTCCCAAATAACATACTGTGAACATCCTAACGTATCGGGCAACCTTTTTGTTCACCCTTGAACCCTTTTTTTTCACCCCACCCTGTTTTTTCCATCCTCCACCTTTCTTTTTCACCCTCTGAACCTTCTTTTTTCACCCTCGAACCTTCTTTTTCACCCTCTACCCTTTCTTTTTTGACCCTCGACCCTTTCTTTTTCACCCACCCTTCCTTTGCTTGGTGTGTTGGTTGGTTGGTTGGCTAGCTTGTTGTAATGCAAGCCAAATATCGACAGCAGTTGGGGAAAACACAGGGTTGTGTGGCTTTGGTTGCTTGGTTTGTTGGTTGCTTGGTGGGCTACCAATACACAGCAAGTATCGACAGCATTTGGGGAAAACACCGTTTGGTTGCTTGGTTTGCTGGTGGCTCGGTAGGCTACCCACCCTTTCTTTTTTGCCCCACTTCCTTTGGTTGGTGTGTTGGTTGGTTCGGCCTGCTTGGCTTGTTGGTTGCTTGGTTTTTGGGAAAACACATACAGTGATGGATGGATCATGGACAAGGAGAAAAATGTAACTTTTTGGTGTGTTGGTTGCTTGGTTTGCTTGCTGTTGATTGCTTGCATGATACAGTGCTTGATGGACATGCACTTTTTTCTGTTTGTGTGCTTGGTTGATGGATAGATGGATGCATGGAGGGATGGATGGATGGATGCTGCGTAAATAAAGGCGGGAGGGGGTGCGGGGGAGGGCGCAGCGCCTCCCCGCAATGCGAACCAAGTATCGACAGCATTTGGGAAAACACAGGATTGTGTGGTTTTGGTTGCTTGGTTTGTTGGTTGCTTGGTGGGCTACCAATGCAAAGCAAGTATCGACAGCATTTGGGGAAAACGTTTGGTTGCTTGGTTTGTTTGCTGCTGGGGCTACCCACCCTTTCTGTTTTACTCTCCTTCCTTTGGTTGGTGTGTTGGTTGGTTCGGCCTGCTTGGCTTGTTGTTTGCTTGGATTTCGTTTGCTTGTTGGTTGCTTTGGTTGCTTGGTTTGTTGGTTGCTTGGTTGGTTGTTGGCTTGGCTGCGTTGTTGCTTGGTTGGTTGGTCGGTTGGTTGGCACTCCGTTGATG